CTTTTCCGCAAACGCGCCCAGATTCAGACCTTCAATCCTATACTGTTTGCTAGTGGGACCTTGCCCCAGGTAGCACGTCCAGCGCCCAATCCGCCATAGGCCGGTACCAATACCCCACCCTCAATTCCGAAGTCATGGTACCAGTCACTTCCAGGCTTGGCAAAATAGTAAATTTAGGCCCGTACTGCATTTAGGATTTCACTGCTGGTTTAAACCACCATGGCGCGAATGAATACAGACCTGCAAGGCCGGCTGAATCAGATTCATCCACCAGAACGCGGTAGGTACTGGTGGTTTAATGAATTGAATATATAAACAACTTCGACCCCTGTGGCGAGTGGACAGCCAGTGGAGTGACAAAGCAAGAAGCCAGGCAAAGGGGAGGCAACAAGCCATGGGACTGCAAGCAACAACATAGCACATAAGAATGGGACTGCAAGCAACAACATAGCACATAAGAATGGGACTGCAAGCAATGACATAGCACATGAGAAGGGGACTGCAAGCAACAACATAGCACATGAGAAGAGAGGGGGTAAGGGAGGCAAGCCGGGAGACGAGGGGCAAGGTGAGGGCCAGGGCAGCAGGATGAGCAGCAAGCAACGAGGCACCAAGGCAACAACGCAGGGGAGCAGCAGCGCAACAAGGCAGCCAGGCTTAGAGGCAACAAAACAGGGAGGCAGCGAGGCATAAGGCAGTGCTGATATGGCAGGCAAACTACAAGACAAACATAAGGGAAGCACAGAAAGACAAGGCAGAAGGATGGGCGGCCAGGCAGCCGGGGCATTCCACAAATCCCACACGGACCAAAGCAGATAATCACCCACTCACACCACAAGTAGAACCCTTCAGACTGTACGTTCACAGCACCATTGGAGCCAGGAATTCAGTTATATGATTATCTTTCATCTCCCATGGAAGACACAGGCATAGGCATCCCGAACACTGCAGCCCCCCTGTAGGCACTATAAACACACAAACACTGAAATACTTGAAACACCACCAGTATTTCGGAGCCTCTTTTTTTTCTTTTCTTTTCTCTTTTTTCCTTCTTTTCTTTTTTCTTTTTTTTTCTCTTTCCCAATGCTTGATTTCTGCTGTGCGCATATAAAACACAAACGGGCACGGAGGCTTTTTTCTTTTTTTTTTGTGTGGCATAGCCAATCATTTCTATCTGGCAGGCGCTGAGGACAAACGGACATGAGCAGTACACCAGAAATCAGTGCATCTGTATAAATGCGTAAATATGAATATATAAACACACACACACACACACACACACACACACACATGTTATGATTCTGGTTGTTCGTTGCCTGAAGGCCAACACTCACTAACATAGACTTCCGCATATGCCCACACATACACAGAAGGAAGGGGAGAGGATAGGAGTATCACACCGCACAGGGAGAGATAAACACAGCGGAAGACTTGACCATGCGATATGACAGGGTGCACTGAAAGTGCAATTCACTCCACTCAATCCTCACAACCAGTCATAGAGAAAAGCCGAGCAGATCACATCCAGAGAACAATGAAATGATGATAGCCCAAACACAGTATCACACTGTTTATTAAACTCAGAGCCTCGAATTGTCAGGATCACTTCAGTACTACATCGGCTGCTCAGACATGAGCAGCGCTTCACTCCCCAACCCTGAGTAACACCCGTAACACGCCCTGAGTCCCTGAAACATAAAGCGCCACCCAAATACAGCCTCCTAGGGGCAGCGCCACCCTGAAACAGGCCTCTGAGGCCAAGCACCACTCAGAGGATGAAGAAGAAGACCAGCGCCACAGTATCTGATGATGACGAACTGTCGGAAGACTTCCCGGGTGGAAGTCTGCAGCAGCGCCACCAAACCCTGACAAGATGACCTCTGAGATGAAGACACTGCAGCTATGGCTGCAGCGCAAACCCCCTGGGACCCCACTCCGGAGGAGGGTCCAGCAGGGCACCAATCTCTCTCGCCTCCAGCAGACCTCGATAACCCAGACCTCTGTCAGACCCTGCGTGCTGGCAGAGTACAGCGCAGGTCCCAGCTATGGCCTGCACTCCGAAGGTCTGACTATGCCCGTCTCCTTCCACGCTGAGCCGTCACCACCGCCGGTTCACGCGTAGCACAGCAGCAATGTACTCGGTACCAACTGCCAAAAGCCCTGAACCGATGTGCCCAATCTGTCTATAGACTAGAACTAGCCTACCCCGACCTAGACCGGACTGACTGACCGACCGGTACCGTATCTGTTTCGGCCTCTCGGCCTCTACCGGACCCGGCTATAGGCTATAGGACCGTCTATCAGAATAGGCCTTTAGGGCCTGTCTGTAATAGGGGTAGCGCGGGCCTGCTATGCGCAGTTAGGTAGCTGTAGGGAATCCTGTTAGTACCGGGCCTGTATTTTGCCGGATTTGCAGATATGTCCCTCAAGAATTTCCCTCACAGGTAGGTCTCTCGGCCTACCTAAAGTACAGCCTCGGTAGAGAAAGGCTACAGGCGACCAGAAGACAGCGAGTCATTGCAGACCTTCCCTCCCCCGTAGCAAGGACCTCCTAGCTAGAGGCGTAGGCGTGCAGAGCGCCGAAGGGGTACCCCCTTCTGTGCTGCCTCATATTTGAGGAGGACAGACTTAGCTGTCTTAAGAAGCTCCTTGTGAGTAAACCAGCGGTCTTCAGTGTGTGGCTGGTATAAAAACTTCACAAGGGGTACTTCTTATCTGGACCTGTACCTGACTCATCCTCCACAGATTCGACCTCATACCTTTTGTCAGGGATAGGGGGACCGAACTGAGGAGGCCTGTCTGGGAATGCATCAGCTGGCGTAAATGGCAACAGCTTAGATGCATGAAAGACAGGGTAGGTTTGTAGATGCAGAGGGACGTCCACATTGTAGGACGGTCCAAAGGGATCAGCTCCCACTGTATCTAAGACCTGCCATGGACCCATGTATCATGGCAGCAGCTTAGGGGAAATATCCTCCTCTCGCAACAGCTCAGAACTAAGCACCCACACCCAGTCACCTGTGCGAATAGTAGAAGGACGTCTGCGCTTATTGGCCTGCTGAATCATGGCCTTTTGGGCTTTCAGCAGGTTAGCACGCGCTCGCTCAATATGCACACGGTAACGTGTGGTGAACTCTGCAGTTCTAGGCGTTAGCGTAGGGGTAGCCTTATCGATGATGTCATCGAGAGGCTGTCGTGGCTCACGACCCCGGTGTAACCGGTAGGGTGTGAAGCCTGTAGAGGAGCGTACAGACGTGTTATACACAAGTTGTGCACGACTCAGATGGAGATCCCAGTCCTGCTGATCTGGACTGATCACAAGACGCAGCAATTGGAATAGAATCTGGTTCATCACTTCAGCCTGACCATTGGCTTCAGGATGACGACCAGATGTAATATCCAATCTGGAATGAAGGTAATCCCTGCAGTAGGATTACCATTCATTGCTGCAAAACCGCGGATCTCTGTCACTGACAATAGAGGTGGGTGGTCCATGATGTGTGACCCACTTGTCAGCAAAGGCAGCCTGAACGGCCGACACTCGAGCCTCAGCTGGTAAGGGGATGAACTCTGCATATTTGGAGAACCGATCCACACATACCATGACCTGACGCATACCTCGTGGTGTAGTCTTACCCAAGTCAGTGAAATCAAAGGATACTGACTGTGCAGGTGCATCAGGAATAGGTAGGGGTTTGAGTAGGCCAAGAGGAGGTCGACGTACAACCTTGTTCCTTTGGCATTACTAACAGGTTTCCACATAGTGCAGCATGTCACTCCTCATCTCCTTCCAGAAGAAGCGCTGCAACAAGGCTGCATCTGTGCGTACGCCCGTACGTATACGGGCCATACGTATTTCCGTACGACCGTACGTACGGGGCCCCAGCGGCCCGTACAGGCCGTACGTACGGACTTCCGTACGTCCTTTCGCGGTCTTTTCGGAGGGGGTCGACCGCCGTTTTCGGGTGGGTGGGTGTCGGGTGTCGTGGGGAGTCCATCTGCAAAA